CGTCGGTTCCGCTTCCCCCACGGCGCCGCCGCCCGCCGCGGAGGTCCGCGGCCGCCCGGAGGACGCCCCACATTCCTCCTGGGGGGACCCCGCACGCGCGTCCCGCGGAGGCCGAAAGTGGCCTCAAGACTCGAGAAGACAGCGAGGGACTTGGTCCTCCCCGGAGCAAGTTCTGTGGGGTGCTGTTACTGCGTCGCAGGCTCGTGGAAACGCACAAAAACCAGGTCCGGAGTCGCTCCGCCGCTTCGCCGCGGGCGGCCGTGGACCCCGGGGTCTCCGGGAGCCCGGGGGCGGGGGAAGTGTGGGCCTTTCCCCCGGGGCGGGGGCCGGTCAAGTTCCTCCCTCTTCTGGAAGCCCGGGGGTGGTTCGGTTCTGAGGTCTCCCTCGCTTTGGCCAGAACTTGGACTTTGAGTTGTAGGTGGACCGAGTGAGTCTTCCGATGTGTTTCTCTGCCCTGGCGGCTCAACCCTCTGACTTCAGCGTCGTTTTCCAGGGCTCCTTCCCGTTGGCGACTCTGGGGCTTTGTTTATGTTCTGCACTTGTGGAGGGGCCCGCGCGGTGGTGGTTTATCTCTCATCCCAGGAGCACTTGTGTAGGTTGATATTGTTTCACTTGGTTAAGTGAAGTTTACTGTGGTGTTTTGTCCTCAAGGTCAAGCCGCTGATCAGCTGCAAGAAAGAAAGGGACTCAGATTTCCAGCCACTGAAATGCCCCTTAGGCAGCAAGCTCGAAGATGCCCAGATAGTGGTGGTCCATTGAGCCTTCTTCTAGACTGTCTGGTATCAGATCTCTGCCTGCTCGTTTTCTAGCTTCTCGACCTTGGGCAAGTTACTCAACCTGTGCTTCCTTAATAATATGGGAATGCTGATAGTAATAGTGTCTGTTTTAAGAGCTTGTTCCCACAAATGGCCAAGTTATACAAGTAACAGTGAGTGAGTGAGTGAGCAGTGAATGTAAATGAGGTGGTGTAAGGAAAGTAGCCAGACAACATGCCTGGCACATGTAATCAGCTCAGGGATTAGCAATTAGTATTACTAATTGAAGTTTGTATTTCAAGTGTTTAGATACAATTAGGAAAGCTCTGTATTTCAGTTATTTAATTTTGTTTTCCATGGGAGGGATTCTTGAAAATCCATTAAGTTACTGCTTTACTGGAATTAAAGTGGTGGCACTTGAAAGTGTTTTGTTTAAAGCAATGCTTAAACACAGAAAAGGCCTCCCTCCAGAACTTAGGCAGGACTGTTCCTCTCCTGCAGAGTGGGTAGAATTCTGTGGGGTGTGACAGACCCCCCCCCCCATCAGGAACTTCAGGGTTCTTAATATTCTCCTTCATTATGGATAAGCACAAGGCTCCTATATTGATACAGTCTTCAGCTAAGATACAAGTTGAATATCCCTAATCCGAAAATAAAAAATCAAGTTATGGCTCAGAGTTTCAGATCTTGGACCATTTTGAAGTAGGGGTGCTTAATTGGCAGAGTCTGTAAATACTCCAGAATCTGGATAATAACTTATGGTGCCAAGCATTTTGGATAAGGAATGCTCAGTAGTTTGGGGATGGCTGTTGTCTGGATGAGGGCTTTAGCAGCTATTCTGCACCTCTGGGGGACTGCTCAGGGAGTCTGGAAGATTTAACCATAGGCAATGCACTGGGCCAGTTAGAATAACCTCTCAGACCTGCTCTGTGTGTCCTCCAGGATACGGGAAACCAGTGCCTTTCTCTTGGCTAGTTACTTGGGCCTTGGCTTACTTGGTTACACTGGTGAATTTAGTAGACTAGTCTTTAGGGGAACATCTTGCTGGTTTAACTTACCTGAAGACAGGAAGAAGACTGTTTTGAGTTTAGAAGACTCATAACCTCTGTAAAATAACAGCAAACCACACTCTTCCCCTCACCTTCCCCCAAAACATCATTCATAAAAACCAGCTTGCTAGTTTCAGGTGACTAATTGAGAGTTTGAGAATCAGCTGGACAGCAAGAGAAAAGTTAAGAAATTAGACTTGATAGGGTGAGGTTTACTTAGCTTCTTCAAGATACATTTTTGCATCAGTTTGGTCCAGAAAATTATGTGTTTGTTACAAGTAAACTTCTCTTCCTTAAAACCATCTTTGTCAGGTGTTTGTTTTCTGCATTTTAAGTATCTGAGGATTCTACAATTTTGTGAATATATGTTGGTTTAAGATGTTACATTTTACCTCAGAAGAGTTATAGTATTGATAATTAAGGTTTCTCAGAGCTCAGCTAAAAGTCAGCATGAGTTTATCTCATAAAAAGCACAAGTCTCATTGGATCCTCAAGATCTAAGCTGTTGAGTCAGTCCATGGAGGCCAAGTCATGTTAGCTACTTTTTCTTTAAATGTAGTGAAAAATATAACTAGCCTTTTGGCTTTAGTCAGCTTTCATATTTTTGTCTTTCCTCTTCTGGGGGCTGGGGTGGGTTGTAAGGTTTGAACTCAGCTCTTTGTATTTACTACCATTGGAGCCAGACTTCTAGACCTTTTTCTTGAAGTTATTTTTCAGATAGAGTCTTGCAGTTTGCCTGGGTGGGCTTTCAATGATGATTCTCTGTCTCATCTTCCCAGTTGCTGGGATTACAGGCATGAGCTACCATGCCTAGCCTTTGCTCTTTCTTAAGACTTTAGGTAAATTTTTCTTTTTTAATTAACACACAACTATATGTATTATACTATGGGTCATAGTATTTCAGTATTGCACAATGTGCTGATCAGGGTGTTTAGTGTTTCCATTTGTCTTTTTGTACCTTTAAGGGTTTCTATTCTGAAATGATTGATTTGGGGTTGGGGATATAGCTCAGCAGTAAAGTACAAAGCCCGATGTTCCATCCCCAGCACTGTAAAACAAAGGGAGAAATGAGAATAATAATTAGCTTTTTACTTACTTTTGGTCAGGGTTTCTAAACTGGGGGGTAACTTATTTCCCCAGGGGACATCTTTGCCTGTCACACCTGTGGTATGCTTCTGGAGGGTAGAGTCCATGACTAGGGCTAATCATCTCTAGTTCACTGTACAGCCACTCCCCAGCTAGATACCCAGCCCCGGGGATCACTGGTGTTGAGGATGAGAAACCTTTTGGAAAATCCTAGATGAGCCAACATTAGAATCATTTTAAGACTGGATTCTGAGCTCCACCTTTACAAATTCATGGTGGTATTGAGAATCTTAGATATTTATTATTTATTTTTTGTCAGTTGTGGGGCTTGATCTCTGGGCCTGGGCGCTGTCCTTGAGCTCTTCAGCTCAAGGTGAGCTCTCTACCACTTGAGCCACAGCACCACTTTTGGTTTTCTGGTGCTTAATTGGAGATGAGTCTCATGGACTTTCCTTGCCCAGGCTGGCTTTGAACTGCAATCCTCAGATCTCACCCTCCTGAGTAGTTAGGATTACAGGCGTGAGCCATTGGCATTAGGCTTAGAATCTCTAATTTTAAAAGCTTCCCAAACCTTTTGACAGCTGGGCTTTGGAACTACTGCTTTAGATCTCAGATTTGAGGGACTGTTTGTGAGTTGCTGGATTCTTTGGGGGAATCAATGAGTTTGGGCTTTGAAGTACCTACATCTTGCCCTGAAGGTTATTTCAGTAGTGTGAAGAGATGGTGTGCATGCATCCTTTCTTAGTTTTAGGGGCTGGGAAAGTGGCTCAGTGGTAGAATGCTTGCCTTGCATGCATGAGGTCCTGGGTTCGATTCCTCAGCACCACATAAGCAGAAAAAGCTGGAAGTGGGGCTGAGGCTCAAGTGGTAGAGCGCTAGTCTACAGCTGAAGAGCTGAGGGACAGGGCCCAGGCCCAGAGTTCAGGCCCCACGACCGACAAAAAAAAGAAAAGTGAGTTTTAAAATAAAATTAAAAGAGCTTCTTGCAGGTGGCTCAGGCATGTAATTCTGGATACTCAGGAGACTGATATCTAAGGATCACAGTTCAAAGGCAGCCCGGGTAGTAAAGTCCATGAGATGCTCTGGTTAACTACCCAACAAAAAGGCCAGAAGTGGAGCTGTGGCTCAAAAAATGAAAAACTTATTTTTTTTTTTCTGCAATGAACTCATTTAACAGGATAAATTTGAACGGCTTTCTCCTTTATCTCATGGAAGTAAATTACATTGTTCCTGACACTTTCCCGGAAACCCTATCCCCCATCCATTAGGGTTTTGCTCCTGTGGCAGCAGTACTACTGGTATTTTTTTTTTTTTTCCTGTTGGTTGTGGGGCTTGAACTCTGGGCCTGGGTGCTGTCCCTCAGCTCTTCAGCTCAAGGCTAGCGCTCTACCACTTAAGCCCACAGGGCCACTTCCAGTTTTCTGAGTGGTTTATTGAAGATAAAAGTCTCACGGAGTTTTCTGCCTGGGCTGGCTTTGAACCTCGATCCTCAGATCTCAGCTTCCTGAGTAGCTAGAATCACAGGTGTGAGCCACCGACACCCAGCTTACTACTGCTATTTCTTAAATTTTCTAACTTTTGCCATCAGCATGCCAGTCATTTGTCCGTTTTGGTTGTAGATTGTAGCTACCT